GATTTTTATGGGATTGTACCTCAATTAATTTGTACATTTGTTTCTCATTTGTCTGAAGGAAATGCTTTTTGTTTTTTTACATTTAAATCTAGTGTGCATCATAAACACTTACTTTTCTTTATCCAGGCCTTTATTTGTATACTGCAGTGTAAAAAATGAGAAGAAAAAGTGTGGTAAACCAGGCTTAAAATATTTTTAGAATTATTTATTTCAGGGCATTGGAAAGAAACATTCTGAAAGACAATAATTTTACTCTTCTGTTATTCATTTAAACCTCCAGTATAACATAAATATCTAACCCTCCACTCTGAAGATGTGCTAAGAAGCAGAAGGCCTCTCAGTACTCAAATTAAAATATAACTTTTTTTTTACGTTAGTCCTATGTGAAGAAAATGTGCGTTTAGAGAAGCTGTTTAATTTTTAGGTAGATTTCTTGAAACAAAATCGGCTTTGCTGCAGGTTTTCTATGGCAATGCATGATGGAGAGACAGCCCTCACGGGGAACACGCTACAGTAGCTTGTTCTCAGTAGCTGGGTCAGAGTGCAGCTGGATGGGAGATAGTATCTCTCTCCACCAACGGGGTGCAAAGCTTTGCAAGGGAGCAGTCGGACAATAATCAGCCTCCTAGAGGAATGTCACTGAGACTGCAGTGCTGCGAAGGTTCCACATGGTCAGCGTGTGATCCAAGAGGAAAGGAGCCAGGTGGCAATTAAAGACTTTCAGTGGCTATTCCATGCTCATTTGAGGGGGTGGGCGGGCAGAATGAATGAGTTCTGGGGGTGGAGCGGTGGCTCTGTGGCTAAGCATCTGCACCTGTGGCTGGAAGGTTGCCGGTTCAAATCCCCCGGCTGGCAGAGGAATCCTACTCCGTTGGGCCCCTGAGCAAGGCCCTTAACCCCAACTGCTCCAGAGGTGCTGTACAATGGCTGACACTGCACTCTGACCCCAAGCTTCTCTCCCTGTCTGTGTTTCTCATGGAGAGCAAGCTGGGGTATGTGAAAAGACAAATTCCTAATGCAAGAAATTGTATATGGCGAATAAAGTGATCTTATTTTCTGGTTAAAGACGAACTCGGCTACAAAGGCTGGAGACCATAATGTCTAGAACATAAGGTTGTAAAAAAGAGTCCATTTTATCCTATTTTTTAGGATTCAAGAATTCCATCAATCCATTTTTCAATGGGTCCCATGGTGTCAGCCACATTATTTGGGATTTGGTCATTGTCATCTACAAGCCTCAGTATGACTGAGTGGCCCAAGTGGAATCTCCAGTTCCTTATGTCATAGCTGAGCTTGTAGGATTGTCTCCTGAATTGATCTGGCCGATGATTTTCAGGAGGTTGAGCAGCAACATCTAGCTCCCCTCATAAACTTCTCTATTCTCTGGCTCAAAATGTTTATTTTCCTTAATTTGTGCAAGTACGGTTTCGTTCAGTTTAGGAATTATTCAGACTGGTCCTCTGTGCTGCCACTAGAACACCAATATCCTTCCAGCAGTGCAGTAACCAAAGCCAAACACAGTATTTCAAGTGGGATCAAACCAATATATTGTAGAATTTCAACAATTAGTGGTTTCTCCACTAATGATGTGTCCACGCATTTTGTTGGCCTTTTTTATTGCCTCATCACACTATTTCGAGATGGAGAGCAGAGAGCAGAGG